TATCTAATTGTGTGATTATTCATTTATCTTTTTTTTTTTTTGCGATTTAATTTAATTAAATTCCCCAAAAGATGAACCATATTCTTTATGTTAGTTTTCTTTAAAAATAATTCATTCTTATTAACTCTTATACTTATTTAAAATTTTTTTTTTTTTCTAAAGTCAAAACTTTCACGTATCTTTAATTAGATTAAGATTTTTTTTTGGTTTATCTACCAAGTTGGTTCGAATTATTATTTCTAAAAAAAAATGACGTAAATAAATCTTAATTAATCTAGTTTTGTTAAAGTCCTAATTGACCAAGTTGCTTCAATTAAGATCCTTTTTTTTTTTTCCAAAAATTAAAAAAAAATTATTCTTTATTTAACTATTTTTATCAAAGTTAATCGAATATCGTAAAATATTATATATTTTATGTTAAATTATTTTCCTAAATTTTTTTTTTTTAAAAGATATGTTTTTCAAGGGTTTTCTTCATTTAAATCATTTTTTTTCACTCATTTCAAAATTGTTCTAAGTTGAAGTTTTTTTTTTCTTCCTATTTCTTTTTAATTTTAATAAACTTTGAAAATGTGTTAGTCAAAATCTTTTCAATTGATTAAAAATAATAAATAATAGTAAAAAATAAAAATAAAATATACTTACTTAAGTCATTTTCTCAAAAAAAAAAAAGAAGAAAAAAAAAAAGAAGAGGTTAATCAAATAATAAGAAATGGTTTTCATATTTTAATTTATCAAATTGGTCTAAAAATGAATTAATCTAGTTTTATATTAATATTTTAATCACTTGTAATTTAATTCAAATGTTTCATTTCAGATCTCATTCTCCAAAAGGTAAAAATAAAATATAAAATGTTCGTTATTTAACTATTCTTCAGAGTTAATTGAACATTGTAAATTATCATATTTTCTTTTATGTTAAACCATTTTCCTAAAAATAGTCAAAATATATTTTAGTCAAGTCGCAGGTCAACCGCATGTTAGCGGACACTTCGAATGCTTAAACCCTTCTCGAAGTGTAAATTGAACCCCGAACCCTCTTTGGTATTTTCAAATGATTTTTTTCTGTTTAAATCTTTGAAAACTATAAGTTTTCTTAATTTCTTTAAAAAATTAAGTGGCGACTCTTTCTAAGTATTTTTCTTAAAATGTTTTATACTTAGAATATTTCAAAAAAAGTAATTTTTCTAAAGATAGGACAATTACGGCACAACAAACAGGAGGAAAAATGAGTTGTTTCTTTGCTTTTTTGAATCTTAAATTTCATAGAAATCGGAGATGAATTGAAGTTCAGATGCATTTGTGCTGCAATGTAGAATTTAAGAACTTGAACAAGAGGAAGAATGATCTGTTTCTTTGCTTTTTTGAATCTTAAATTTCACCGAAATTGGAGATGAATTGAAGTTCAAATGTGTTTGTGTTGCAATGTAGAATTTAAGAACTTAAACAGGAGGAAGAATGATCTGTTTCTTTGCATTTTAGAATCTTAAATTTCATAGAAATTGGGGATAAAATGAAGTTCAAATGCGTTTGTGTTGTAAATTAGAGTTAAAGAACTTGAACAGGCTGGATTAGCCCCCAATATGCTAGAATTAGACCCCAGGAAAAAAAAAGGAAGCAGAACAATGTTGTTCACTGGTTAATTTTGCCACAGACAGTGAGTTAAACTTGAACTGAGTTAAGTGAAAAACATTAGTAATAGTATGCCCCTTAGTTAGAATCTTCAATTTCCCTCTACTTTAATCACCATCCTTGCATCTTTGTTCCTTTTGGGAACTAACATTAGAATCTTCAACTTGTACATTATAGGCAGTACTGTTTTTCCAGAGATGAAAGACATTTCCTCCTCAAGAAGAATTGAAAGAGCTTTTGGTGAGATTATTCAATTGCTGGATGAAGTTGAGTTGGTATCACTAGAGTTCTATGAATGTGTCAACTTCGAGGACCATATAGACTTTATGTATCCCATTTTGGATACTTACTGCTGCATTAACCGCGCCACGTTAAGGTAAAATCTTATAGCTAAAATCAATAGAGTCCAGTTCTATTCTTTTCAAATGACAATTTTTTTTTTTTTTTTTTTAGAGGTAATCATCAAAAACTGAATATAGAATCAGTGCAAGAAGATATATCATTTGTGATTGGTGACCCTCTCTGGCAAAGGTTTAACCATGTTATAATAGGGAACGAAAAAGATGCTGATTTCTATTCATTCGCTTGCGACAAAGTGTAAGTTTATTAAGTTTAATATTTTCTTTGTTTATTTTTTGATACGAAATCTAATTTAATTTACTTTTTGCAGGACATACTATTTTTTCCCGAAAGAGACGGAAAAGATGGTCATTTGCTTTCAAATGAGGGTCGACAAATCAAAATTGATATGGATGGTGATTTTACTGCCACTTTTTTTTGGTAAGTTTGTATCCAAGTACACAATTAAATCATTCCTAATTGTAAAGGATATATCAACAAACTGAAGAATTCTTTTATGTGGCAGGTATCAAGTTGTAGGATGGAGTTTTCAGACCACGCGGAGCTAACAGGGACTTCACTTCTTCTGTCCAAGGAGCTAACAGGGACTTCACCTCTTCTGTCCAACTGTTAAAGGAGTAATTGTTGTCATTTTTTCCCGAATTCATCCAATGAACAACACCATTGATGTTAGCCTTACTAAATGATACACATAGAGGTTCTGGAGCCTCATCCACATATCTCCATTTTTCATCAACTCTAAGAGTATAAACCTCCAATTCTGGTACTTTTGAATGTCTGGCAAAATTACTAACTGCTGATCTTAATACTTTATACTGTCTAGAGGCTTCACTAAAGCAGAATGCATAAGCAACACAAGTTCTTTTCTCCCGTTTAGGCAATTTAACCTTGAGATACTCACCCAAAAGAGGATTGCTAATGTGAACCGAATGATTTAAGTCATACATCCAACCTTTCAACGAACAGACAAACCCATTACATGAACCAATCAATCTCATGCGGGATGAAGGGAGATGAAACTTAGGGCTCAACACAGTGGTGCTCTTTAGGGGGTAAGGATCATCTGGTTTGAGTTCTAGAAGAAACTGGACATAGTTATCAATCGAAAGCAAAAGGCTGGGAAAATTAGATGATGTTCTTTTGTGATACATGTTAGAAAATAATGGGTCAGAAGTTAAAAGATTATACCACAGTTTACAAACTTACAACAAAAAATGGACTTGATTGGTAATCTCGAAAGAATTTCCACCATAATCTCACTTGAAAGGTCCAAGATTATGGTGACATGAGAGATTGTTTTTCCTTTGCAATCTCCATAGTTAATATTTTCTTTGTTTATTTTTTTGATACGAAATCTAATTTAATTTGTTTTTTTGCAGGACATACTATTTTTTTCCAAAAGAGGCGGAAAAGATGATCATTTGCTTTCAAATGAGGGTCGACAAATCAATATTAATATAAATGGTGATTTTTCTGCCACTTTTTTTGGTAAGTGTGTATCTAGGTACACAATTAAATCATTCCTAATTGTAAAACATATAATATATCAACAAACTGAAGAGTACTTTCTTTTATGTGGCAGGTATCAATATGAAGCACAGACAACAATACTGCCTATTACTCACTTTTTGGTTCTTCTTTGTAATCATTTTTTTGGCCTTGAGTTTTGACGTCTGTATTAGGTAGATAGGGAAGTTGATTAAAATGGCAAAAGTATAGGTGTTATCAATTTTAAAGTAGAATCATGTCAATTTTGAACTCACTGTAGATGACAGCGAAGGAATGGCTGAGGTAGATATTGTTTCATCTTTCAATAGATGCAAGATTGAGGGAGGGTGACGAATGACGATACATATGAGCTTCTTAAAGTATAAGCCACAAGCATTTGTTCCTTCTCCTTTGACCTATAAAATTAATGTCAGAAATAGTTCTTTTTTATATAAGTAGTTGTCAACCTTAGAACTACCCAATCTCTTAAACTAATTTGTTCTGTTCAGAGCTCAAGTTTTGTCCTTGAGCCACTTCTTTCCTTCCATTGACATCCAAGAAATGTAGTTAATATCTATGTTTCTCGGACTCTACCAAAAATGTTGAATCACCCTTGTCGGATCCTCCAAAAATATACTATATTTGGAGGAACCGACACACAACATCATCATTTTTAAAGGGTATGAGCAACACACGTTATTATCTATTTGTGTCATGACCTCTTTGTAGAAAAACAAACCGTCTGAGTTAGGCCGTAGGTTCATTTTATTTTCTCCACGAACACGAGGAGAGATAGATAGAGAGAGAGAACATATGACTGAAATATCTGAGTTGCAAATTCTTATGTATGTTGATATATAAAAGTCAAAAACGTCCGGTAACACCTGAAATACTTGATAACCTCTGTCCTCAAAAAAGTTTAAAACAGTAAGTTTATCATAGTGGAGTTTCCTTTTCAAGTGTTTTTGCTTCTTATAGTACTTACTTTTATAATGAACCACTATCACCAGCACTCTCCACTTCTATTTGTCTAAATGCTTGTGCTAATATGTCGAAAACAGGTCTGATCATGGGGCCTGTCTTTTGCTGAGCTCAATTTACTGAGACCACTCGCTGCATATACTATTCTCCGCAATGTTGAAAATGAAAATAAATAAAGTAAATGTTCGTAGTGCTGCTTTCGTTTTCTCTACTCCCTCCCCCACACTAAATTATTTTGTGTTCCCTTTCCTGTTAAGAATTTTGCTGATCACATCATTTGATTGTTCTAATGATTTTGATTTTGTTATATCATGGGGCTACTGTTGATTTCATGTTCAAATGAATCTTATCCGAACGTTTTCTTTTTTCTTTTTTTTTACCCCTCCCTGGATCCTCCCTTGGTGACTCAAACTCACAACCTTAGGCTAGAGTTGGAGCTGTGAGGGATGCTTACCATCCGAGTAACTCCCTCTTGTCTTATAGAATTACGCGAGGATTAAGGAGTCTATGCATAAAAACATATTGTCTTAACATTTAGATATGAAATAAAGACTCATTTGGCATTCATGTAAAAAAAAACAAACATGAAGAAAAGTAAACATACAAAACACCTCTCTCTCTCTTTTCAGTGAAGCAAATTTGTTGAATGAGTGATGGATAGGTTCGACGATTCAGCCTTAAGATGAGCAGTGGTGCAAGGAACATCTTCGAGGTCACATAAATCAGGGAAAGGACTATTAAACTGGAGATCAGTAAGCATCTGACGAAGGTCTGAAGTTTCTTCCTTTAACTGTGAATTCTCTTGAAGGACTTTGTCATGACATTCCGAGACATGATTAAGTTTATCAATCAAATTATGATTCTCCGTTCTAAGACGAAGAACTTGTGACCATAACTCATCAAGTTGTCTTTGTTTCCTCATCCTTGATCTTCTTGCTGATTCTCGATTAGATATCATCCTCCTCTTCTTTCTCTCGTCGATGATCTTAAGTTGTTGCTCATCCGTTTCATCAGAGGTAGAGTTACCACTGATGCAAGATGGTAATAGATTATTGAAGTCATTAACAGGATAGTTTGGTAGAATATTAGTTAAGTATCTACTAAAGTGGAGTGATGGTGAACTGTTTTGCATGAAATTGAAGTCAAGAGGCAGAAGTGAAGGATTTTCTGAAGAAAAATAGTGAGTTGCTGCAGTTTCTGATGGAATCATAGTTAAGTAACTGTATGTTTGCTTTGAAGAATTTTTTGTTTTTGTAGATAAAGTTGAGATTGTAGGAGAACATTGGTTGAGTAATGAGGGGTTTTTATAGGAGAAGAGTGGGTCAAGATTCAGGGGAAGCTTACATAAGCAGAAAAACAGAACATCAATTTAGGAAGCACGTCGAAAAAAGGCGTTAGACGCGTGGTGTGTGGTGAGTGGTATGTGTTACTACTACTATGTTGCTCGGATTCTCCAAAAATGTCTTTGGTTGTACTCTATGGTGAGTGGCATGTGTTATTACTACCATGTTGCTCGGATTCTCCAAAAATGTCTCTGGTTGTATTCTGTGGTGAGTGGCATGTGTTAGTGTTACTACTACTATGTTGCTCGGATTCTCCAAAAATGTCTCTAGTTGTATGTTGTGGTGAGTGGCATGTGTTACTACTATTATGTTGTTTGGATTCTCCAAAAATGTCTCTGGTTGTACATTGGATCCTCTAGAAGTATGTATTTTTGGAGGATCTGACATGAGAATAATTGAGGGACTTTTTGTAGGGGGTCGATATAGTCTTTTTACTTACATGATCAACTCTATATACTTGTATATTAGTTAGTTTGTTTGCTTTAAGACTACTACCTACTCGAACTATTACTAGCTATTAACCACGGTTAAACATAATCAAAGGAATGGGAGGAAAGACCTATAAGGAGAGACTTGTTTATTTGTTGTATTTTTGGAGGATCCGAGCAACATATAAGCAATAACTTTGATTGGTTCCATGATGAATCGATATATGATGTATATGCATGTGTCCCATTCCATACATGCATGTCATGAAATTTCTAGCATTATGTAGTTGTTCAGACTCTTTAAAAATGTTGTTACATCTCTGTTGAATTTTCTTGAAATGCATTTCTTTCGAAGGATTTGATATACAGTAGTATCAAACAATACTTTTGAAAAGTCCGAACAACATAAGTTGAAAGTCAATCTTATAAGAAGAGAGTATCCAATTTGAGAACAATTATCTTTTGGTGGATGACGAAATCTAGGTTAATTTATTAAGTTGGAAATTATTTAAAAACATGTTAATGATGATTTATTTATTTTATTTTTTAAAAAATAATGATGAGTCGAAATCCACTTAAATTGAGGTTAAAGGGACCCATAGAGAAGAATTGTAATTGTCCATATTGTTTACTTTAACATCTTACTACCTAAATGCTTGCGTATTACCTTTTTAATCAACTAGCCATTAGCTAAATAAATTGTCACAATACAACAAAACTTTATTGTTCATAAGCAAAAAGCTATTGAAATGAGAGACCTGATATCTGTGTTGGTCGAAGGTAGCAAGAATATTATAATTTAATCAAGGTGTGGTGCATAAGTTGACTCATATTTTACCGTTAAAAAAAGAATAAGATGAATTTACACTAGCTGGCTGACTCATACACCACATATATTTTACTATAGAACTCTTATTAGTTGTGTTACTGAAATATTTTTAGTGGAAGGTAGCTCTAAAGTCTTAGAGCACCATAAACCTTTGTTTTCCTTTTTTTTTTTTTTTTTTGGATAATCGAAAAATTTCGAGGGTCAAGTACTCTTCTTCACTTAAATATCATATTTTTGCTTACGTCAGAATTCAAACTTATGACGTGAATTGAATTTCATATATCATATGTTGTGCTCTTACTACTGAATCAATGTCTTATAAGGTTTTCTCAAGCTTTATGGTTTGCTTTCCTTTCTTTTATCTTCTTCTCTTTATACTATTTTAAACAATATATGAAGAGAGATAAAGGGAACTTTATTCCATATTATGAAAATCAATAAATATGATTACATGCTCCCAATGAATTACACACATATAATTAGTTTAGTGCAAATTAAGAGTCATTTGTCTCATGTTGAGATGATGAAATCCATCAATAGAAAACTATTTCTATATATAGTGACCCATAAAACAAATTAAAATGATTATAAGTAGAAGAATATTCTTATTGTAGCCATATGTCCTAGGCAAGTTATGTCCTTGAGTCTGAATACACTACAACAACATGTTTCGTGTAATTTCACACGTGGGATATGGAAAGGATATAATATAAGCTAACGTAATCCTTTTCTCGTGAAAGTAGATTAACTGTTTCTGAAAGACCCTCGACTAGTATAATTCTTTATGATTACCAATATCTTTATTTGTCTTATATTTATTCCCTTTTTTTATTTCCATATGGACTTTGGATGTTAATGTCAGCCTATCAAAAAATATCTCATAATCAACCAATTCTTGTCTGAAATTGGAGAACTGTTCCCTTATCAGTTTAGTCATATGTTGAATTATTATTATTATTGAAGTACTTATGGTCAGGGACGAAGCTATAATATTAGGTACGAACTTGAAAAAATTTATTCACTCTATATTTGTTTGAAAAAATCATTAAATATGTATAAATATTTAATTGTAAATCAAATAACAAAAAATGAACGAACGGTAATGTAATTTCAATAATAAATTTAGAATTCATGATATTTAAATTCCAACTTCGCCTCTGTGTATGTTCACTTTGTTATTTTGTCAGACATCAACATGTTGGCAATGTAACTAGAAGAATACATGCACTTGAAAAGGCCACTTGAGAAACAGTATTATATCATCATTTTTTGAAATTTTGTTAAAACCAATACATATTATTCTTATTTAAATATAGTGAAAGTTCGTTTTCAATCGCTATAAGTGTAGTGTCACTCACTTGAATATTGCATATTCATTTTTACTTGGTTGTCCTAATTCATGACAATTTCTCTTAGAGTCTTGCCAAACCATACATTTGCACTCAATTGCTTTTCTCCCTCCTTGACTCTCGAAATCATAATATGTTGATATACGATGTAAATCCAGATGATTAATATATTGGCATAATGGCAAATTTAATCATGAATTTATGAGTTCGATATAATTCAGTGTTTTGAAATCGAACACTAAATATACATGCAAAAAACAAATATATATCAATAAAATTATATATACATGTTAATCATATTTCATGTAATATGTTAAGGAAATGAATCTTTATGTTAATTCAACCCTGAAAGCTAGAGTTTGAGCCTTACGGAGAAGATTTTCCAATTATATAAGGAGATAATAATTCATTTCCTCAACTAATGCGGGAACACTCAAGCACTCCTCGACTGTTTTAAAATCGGACATTTGGAGCACACAAAGTATAGCATGTAGCCCAGTGTAACCAAGAGTAAATATAGTTTTAGCTCTGATATCATATTAAGAAAATAAACATTATATATCTAACTTAATCTATAGTTCATAAGGTGAAGATTATCAAGACCAATATAAGGAAATAACAGTTCTTTTTTCGCAACTAGTACGACACATTCTAACAAAGCGATATAAAAAAGTGGATTCATTCAACATAAACATCTAGAGAATAATACACTCGTATAAGAATATATAAAATGGAAATACACATACATGTATCTACATATGTTAAATAGGGGGGGTATGGGGGGGGGGGGGGGATGGTTAGGTGTTGAGTGGGTGATTTGGGTAATGAAGTACTATGAAAGTTCTTAAGTGTTTCCAATCATAAGAACTACTATATATTTGAAACTTTAAAAAAAAGGTATATACTTTTCTTATTAAGGTTGTGGTTAAGGTTTATTTGCTAATTATTAATTAACTTTTGATCCACTTGTTGCTAATCTATGTCCACTACTTTATTAGAGATTATTTTTTCATTTATTATATTTACTATATTATGTTATTAATAAAACATAAGAAAATTGACTAGTAACATTTTTGTATCGAAAAAGTGATTCCAAATCTCATAGGTAGCAACTTGCAACCGCAAACTTGCATTTTCTTCAATTAATTATATAATTAGAGTCTATACCCCACCTAATTAATATATTAATTAATTAAGATTACTATTTTTATTCCATTATTGTTAATTAATCTATTATATATTTATTGAGACGTCTCTTTGGTGCAATAGCAAATCCACAGTTTGGATAAGTACTAACAAGAGAAAAAAACAATATATTAACCAAAGAATATAATCATATATATTAAGGTTTAATGAAATTTTTAAAAGAATTTAAATTTTATATATTGATAATATATAATTATCGGGTGAATTTATAAATGATCACTTAATTAGTATCATTTTACAGTAGTAAAATTTTTTAAATAATTTTTTTGTAATGATATAATCATTTATTGTATTTAAGTGTTGTGAAAGTTACTAAATTATTTAAACCTAAGTATCATAAAAGTCATCACAAGGAACCAACATCGACATTTAATATGATACTTAGACAAAGTTGAATTACGTTTTAATTATCAGAATATATATTCATTTTCTTTTTTGCAATATTTAAGGAAAATTTAGTGCGATTTCAGTGAATTTTTGTAATATTTAGATAAAATTAATTATTTCCTTAGAAGCTTTTTAAAGGATGATTCGTTTTTAGCTCTTCTTGTTCCATATCGCTAATACCTAATTAATATTTCACCGTCCTATATTAGTTGATCATCTTACTAAAAATAGTTGTCTCATATTAGTTGTCCACTTTACTAAATAAAAAAATATTAATTAAAAAATTTCTATATTACCCTTCCAATTAATTCTTTTTAAAGTGTTCAGTAAAATTTCCAAGAGGTTTTTTCTAGTAAAATTATCTTCTTATTTATGATATCTTAATAAGCGTATGAAAAGAAAAAATAATCAACTAATATGGAACGGAGGGAGTACCGTGCTTAATGTTAAACGTGTACGACTGTGTGATTTAGGGTTAGGTTTTATTGTGTTCAATTCTTGTTACTGGTCTAATCCTCCTAGAAATAACAATTAACATCCATTATCAAACTTTCATTAATTAATTTTTTTTTTTTTAAAGTACCACTTCAAGGAATCTTCTGTCTTTTTCCTTGATTAAGAAAAGAAATTTTGTACATGCTAAAATTAGTGGTTAAGTATAGAATAAA